TACTTGGCGTAACTCATCCTAGGGAAGAAAATAAAATCCTGCTGAAGACCAAACCAATAGCTCAGGTGACTTACACCATAAAGCACTGAAGCCAAGGACTGAATCAGCTTAGCATCAACCACCACCACTGGCGCTTAGCTCCTGAAAGGAGCTGCAATAGCCACAAATGCATCTGTTTCTTTAATGTAGTTAGTCTGCCCAACATAATACTGTGGAACAGGGGAAAGAGAAAGAAATACACATTGACTGAGCATCTACTATTGACTAGGCTGTTAGGTGCTTTTCTTTCATCAATCTTTCTAACTCCTAGAACAACCCTCAGTTGAGTGTTATCTCTATTTCATAGAGAAAACAGACACTTAAGAATACTTCAGGGCCGGCCTGGCGGTGCAGCAGTTAAGTGTGGACATTCCGCTTCTCGGCAGCCCGGGGTTCACCGGTTTGGATCCCGGGTGTGGACATGGCACCACTTGGCACACCAGGCTGTGGTAGACGTCCCACATATAAAGTGGAGGAAGATGGGCACAGATGTTAGCTCAGGGGCAGTCTTCCTCAGCAAAAAGAGGAGGACTGGCAGTAGTTAGCTCAGAGCTAACCTTCCCCAAAAAAACCCCCATAAAGTATTTCAGTAACCAATCAAGAAACTGGAATGTTTTATGAGATAGAAATAGATACAATACAATGTTATCCAGACTGGCTGCGCAGGGATTATATACAAATTAGTCCTGCTAATCCTGCCTTTACGCCTGATTGATGAAGCTATGATGGCAGACAGACCCACTAGGTATGGGGTCTTGAACAAGTCCCTCTATCTCTTTGAGCCTTAACTTCCTAGTTTGTGAAATGAAAAATCTAGAAGAGGTAATTTAATCCCTTTGCTAATACCACCTAAAAGTTCTAACAGAAACACATCTGAATCAGTGTTTTAAACAAAAGGGTGAATTATAAGAAAATGCATAGCCTATAGAGATTTTCAGCAGTCTAACAAATTTATCATCTAAAGCTGTTGTTAAATGCTCTGCTGGAGAAAACAGAAGCAGGTATATCCTCCCTGCTTACTGGTTTACAGTGTAAGACAACAACATGGATGTGGATTTGCTCAGCCTTTCCCACCACTCAGCATCAGCTCCCCAACCTTTCCTTTGAGAAGTCGGTCTCCTACTAACTGGATTCCCAGGACACCATGCCCAGTGAACCACAGCACTAGAGCACACACCTCTGTTCCCAAACATGACTCTCTCGTCGCAATTAATATCAAACAAAAGCCAAATTACAAGCAAACAAACAAAAACCTGAAAAGTTGATCCTGAATTTCCAGTAATTTTCTTTTAGGACTGAGGAAAGTGCTAATTTTTATGGCTGTTTTATCCTATTGACATTGTGAGGTAAAGATACAATCTAGTTTCTTTTATTGCAGAAAATTCTTCTTTACATCTAATATATACTCCATGGCTAAAAATTCCAACCCGTTTCCATATGATCTCATTAGAGATGTTTTCCTTTTTTCAAACACCACCAATGAGAGGCATAAAATAGTGCACTATTAGTTCATCTGGCAGATTCCCTAGTGGTAAAGGAAATATGGTTTTATCACAGTAAAATTTGTGCTAATAGGATTCAAGAGCTAAAGTGGCTAAAAAGTTTAAGGAACTCAAATGATGTCCAGCATTGTGAACAATGTCCAATGACAAGAGAGGAAGAAAATCCAATTTGGTTCTTGGAAAACTTTACATTAGAATTAATTTCCGTTCCATGAAACTACTGAAATTGGCAAGCCTATTAACTTGAAGACAACGGTATGCAATTAAACATGCATATTATTGCTTTTTGTTTTGGAAGACCAAAAGACCAATGCTACAAATGTTTCTATCATATGTGTTTAAGAGTGGCTGGGGAGATCAATGCAAAACCAACAATATTTACCTCTGTGACCACAGAAGACGGACTGATTCATGGCTGCATCTGCTATTTGAAGCCGAATTTGCTATTTTGCCAGGTACAATCCCAAACCAGGTTTTTCCAATTCAGGATGTTCTCAGAACACCTCTTTTGCTAAAGAATTCAATGAAAATTATAAGAATAAACAGTAAGTAGTACAACCACTAACACATCCCTGCAGAGTCAACTTTGATTCCTTTCTGTGAAATGTGATGTTTATATCCCCAAATTTTCCACTGATGAAAAATTCTTCATGCTTTCATAATTTGGTATGTTTTCATAAACTTTAGGGTCAAGTTTCACTTGGTGAATTTCTTCAGACTAAAGACATTGGACAAGCTTCCTTTCACTGGTGGAGTTTCTGGTGTCTAAGAAGGCTTGACCGCCTGCTGAAGTTTCGCCTGCATATGCTACAAGTGTAAGGCTGCTCACCTGTGTGGGTTCTCCGGTGTTTAATAAGATGGGAATTCTGACTGAATTTTTTTCCACATTCATGACATGTAAAGGGCTTCTCTCCAGTGTGAGTTCTTTGGTGTGTATGGAGATTTGTATTTTGACTGAAGCTTTTCCCACACCATGAGCATTTATATGGTTTTATTCCCTGGTGTGTTGTTAAGTGCTTATTAAGATCTGAACTCCATCTAAACCTCTTATCACACTGCTGACATTTATATGGCTTCTCTTCAGTGTGAATTCTTTGGTGCTTAATAAGGTCAGAGCTAACTCTGAAGCTTTTCCCACATTCCTGGCATTTAAAAGGCTTCTCTGCTGCACGCTCTTTCTTGTGAAGATCCATAAGTTTCAGCAGCTCTTGTTTCCAGGTTGAAAGTTTCTTTCTTTTCTTCACTGGAAAATCTTGGTGCCACTTCCCCACCCTGTGAGTATCACCATGATTTTCCTTGCCCGTTGTTTTCTGAGGAACTCTCACTCTGGTCTTTTTTGAAACTATGTCTCCTGGTGCTTGTATTTCTAAGTCAGAAAGACATACAGGCTGTTGATTTTCAGTGTTATTTTTTAGTTTTAACCCTGTTGGAATAAAGGAAGAATCAGCCAACTGTATGGCAGGGCAAGAATACAACAGGGATAGAGAGAAAAATTCAATGATTACCTCTTTTTAAAAAAACAGATAAGTAGAATGTTAAAATATTAAGCCCTTACAAGGGTTCCTATCAAGGCACATTTCTCCTCTTCTCATAGTGTATTTACCTGTAGGCAGCTCTCTGGGACGGTCGTTGAATTCTGGGGATCCTTGAACCCAGGGGTCTTCTCCTTGCTCCAGACAGGAGATCACTTTAGGTTTGGGGAGCACAAATAATGCTGTGAAATGGAAATAGTGAGGTCAAGGACTGGTAACTTACCAACAGTTCACTAATTCCAGACTATTTTCAAGAAGACCAAAGGATACTTTTACAGTTTGCTACCCCAAATGGTGAAATGCAGAGTCTTATATCCGGTATCAGGTTTATACTATACTGCATTTATGGGTGGATATGCAAAGCAGATACTGAGAAATACCTAAGCTGGATACATGAAAAGGATATAAGGAAGGGGAATCCACTGCATGTGCTCCCTCTTCTGCTACCAAGAATACCCCTATTCAATCAAGGTGGAACAAACTCCAAAGGTTGCAGGGAATACAAGCTGGTCCTATTAATTCTTGAGGAGGACTCGACCTGGATAAGATCAGGTCTAGTGGAGCGAATGTGAAAGTCAATGGGTTGGGTTTCATATGCACAAGTGATTCCGGGCACCAATATAGTAACTTTTTATGTAGTTCTCAAGTACCAGACACAGACAGCACTTGGGAAGATGTCTATCACTCCTATAACTCACTGGTTCATGTCCAGAGGGAGGAAACAGACCAGAATCACTTAGTGGACTTCTTTTATGCAGAGATTGCCAAGTAGGGAAACCATTCACCCCTCAGTAATTCAATAAATATGTGTTGAGTGGCTATGGTGTGCCAGGTATGCTCTATAGGCTAGAGATACAGTGGTAAAAAAAACAAAGTCCCCTGATCTCATAGAGCTTATCTTCTAGGGAGAGATTAAGACAATCAAACATCAATAAACAAATAAAATGTCAGGAAGTGATAAATGTTCTAAAGAAAACTAAAGCAGAGTAAGACAGCATTTAAGATTGTGCTTCTGTGAAGCTATTTTAGATAAGGTTGCATGGAAAACCTTAGAGAAAGCGCCATTTGAGCAGAAACATAAAAGTGAGAGTTTAGCCATGTGGTAGAAAAGTGTGCCAGGCAGAGGAAAGGGGAAAGTAGAAATGAGCATGGCCAGTTCAAGAAACACTAGTTCTTGAAGTTCAAGAAGACTAGTGTGGTTAATAGGACTAAACAAGGACAGAAGTGGCAGGAAATGAGGGCAGGGAGGAGAGCAGGGGCCAGATCTTGGAGGGTCCTGGGTGTCTTGGTAAAGCATTTTGCATTTTATTCTAAATGTGATGAGAAATTATCATAAGGTTTTGAAGCAGAGAAATGTCACTATCTGATAAGGTTTTTAAGAGAGTCTGGTGGCTGTGTGGAAAAGACTATGGAAGGGCAAGAATGGTGGCACAGGGTGTCAGTTAGAAAACGATTGAGGTAGAATTAGATAGGGATGACACTGGCATAGTCCAGGATGCTACCAGAGCAGGAGGCAGAGACATGATTGCGCTCAGGCTACACTGTGAAGGTGGAGCCAACAGAACTAGTGATGCATTAGTAGCAGGTTATGATGGTAAGATCAAGGTAAAAGAAAACTCTTTTTCTTGTTCTGAGAAACTGGGTAAATGGGGCTGCCCTTTACTGCAATGAGACAGATATGAAAAGAGCAGGTTTGGAGGGAAGTGGGGATAGAGATAAAAAATTCTGTGTAGGATAAGGAATGAACCCATGTACTTGGAAAAAGCTCCCTAGGTGATCTGGATACACATTTCCTCTGCCCCTACCATCTAAGTGAGAACGAACCAGCTATTGGAAGAGTGAGACTCTCTCACAAGGTGCATTCTCAGCAAGCCAAGAACAAAACAGATCACTCAATTCCTACCCAAAGGGAGGGAAGAATCTTTACCTAGAGAGATGAGAGTCTCATAGTTTTCTTGCATTACATCATTGTAGAGGGCCTTCTGAGTGGGATCCAGTAACTCCCATTCTTCCTGGGAAAAATACATGGCCACTTCTTCAAATGTCAACAAGCTCTAAAGAAGAGAATGGGCTTCAGCTCAGTACTGGCCACTATAGAAGCAACCCTACAATCTGGCCCATGAACTTCACGGTAGACCAGGCACTGAGGAATTAACAACACATGATTTTTCATAAAGTGAGAAGGCAGAAAGGAAGGAGATAATGGATCAGCCAACAGCCTGGGAGGTGCCTAGTTCCCCAGGGATAACATGTGGGCTAACACCCCTCTGAGCACCTGCTGGGCAGGGTGGCATGGGCAACAGGGAAAGGCAGCCCTAAATAGCTGGAAAGCAGAGCTCACCTGAGACTCAGGCAGGACAAGCTCAGGTGCCATTGTCCAGTCTTTGGTGTTTGTCTGCTCAGGAGAGGCTAGGATCTGGTGAGCAGGCACAGCTGTGGGTGGAAAAGAGCCAGAGGAAATTTCTCTTGCTTCTATGAACATCTTGAGCTCATTTCTAAAATACAGAGGATCCTGATTCTTTCAGTAGAGATGGGACAGCTTCACAAGACATGAAAACCTAGAAGTGGCTTTATCATTCTAAGTAAGAATCAAGCATCTAACAGGCCCTACAACAGGTTCCCAGTTGACTCTCTTCGGTATCGTTAGTGAAGTCAAAGAAAGAAATCTCGTTTTTTCCCTTACATGACTAAATTGTTCTGAGTTGGGCAAAATATAGAGGTGTCCAAAAATATAGTACTCAGAGTCCAGTGTGCCAGGTAAAGGAAACGGGAAGGAAGAAATTAGCTTTGAAAATTCAAGAAACAGCAAGAAAACCAGAATGGCTAAAGAGGACTGAGAAAAGGCACGAGTGGCAGGAGATGACAGCAGGAAGGGGAGTAGGGTCCAGATCTTGGAGGGTACTGGGTGACTCGGGAAGGAGTTTGGATTTTATTTTGAAGTGTCAGAAGTCATCATCATTTGAAGCAGAGAAATGTCACATCTAACCAGGTTTTTAAGAGTCTCGCTCTTGTGTGGAAAACAGACTGTGAAGGGCAAGAGTTGTGGCAGGAGGTGCCAGTCAGAAAGGTAATTTCTTTCTGAGGTGCACCTAGATAGAGATGTCCCTGGTGTAGACCAGGATGCTAACAAAGCAGGAGGCTGAGATATGGTTGGACTCAGACTATCAAGTGAAGGTGGAGCCAAGACACTAGTGACACATAAGTAGTGGGATATGACGGCAAGATCAGAGTCAAGGATTAACCCAAGTTTTATGCCTTGAATTATTGGGTGAATTGTGGTGTCCGTTACAGAGATGGGAAAGACATAAGAGCAGATTTGGAGGGGATGGGGAAAAGATCAAGAATTTCAGGGCAAGGAATGCACATGTATACATGGAAAAGTTCCCCAGGTGATCTGGATACACATTTCCCCTGCCCACATCATTTAGTTGAGAACCAACCAGCTACTGGAACATAGACTCTCACAGGGGTGCATTCCCAATAAGTCAAGAACAAGACAGATCACTCAACTCCTACCTAAAGGTAAGGGAAGAATCTTTACCTAGAGAGATGAGAGTCTCATAGTTTTCTTGCATTACGTCATTGTAGAGGGCCTTCTGAGTGGGATCCAGTAACTCCCATTCTTCCTGGGAAAAATACATGGCCACTTCTTCAAATGTCAACAAGCTCTAAAGAAGAGAATGGGCTTCAGCTCAGTACTGGCCACTATAGAAGCAACCCTACAATCTGGCCCATGAACTTCACGGTAGACCAGGCACTGAGGAATTAACAACACATGATTTTTCATAAAGTGAGAAGGCAGAAAGGAAGGAGATAATGGATCAGCCAACAGCCTGGGAGGTGCCTAGTTCCCCAGAGATAACATGTGGGCTAACACCCCTCTGAGCACCTGCTGGGCAGGGTGGCATGGGCAGAGGAAAAGGCAGCCCTAAATAGCTGGAAAGCAGAGCTCACCTGAGACTCAGGCAGGACGAGCTCAGGTGCCACTGTCCAGTCTTTGGTGTTTGTCTGCTCAGGAGAGGCTAGGATCTGGTGAGCAGGCACAGCTGTGGGTGGAAAAAGAGCCAGAGGAAATTTCTCTCGCTTCTGCCTATGAACATCCTGAGCTCATTTCTAAAATATAGAAGATTCTGATTTTTTCAGTAGAGAAAGGACACCTTTACAAGTATTTGGGGTGTCCAGAAGTGGCCTTCTCATTACAAATAAGCATGAAGCATCTACCAGCCCCTAGAACAAGTTCCCCAGTTTTCATGACCACAATTAATAAAAGAAAAACCGTTTTATTTTCTTATATAAAAGTGTTCTGAGTTAGGCAAAAATTAAACATATTTGAAAATGAAGTACTCAGTGAGTGACTCCAGAGAATAGATGTAGATTTTTTATCATTTATTATTTTTTTCCTGGTACACAATTTTGTTCACATTCTGCCAGTGACAGCCCATCTCTGATCCCAAATCTTTCTGCATTTGATGATGAGGTGGCCCCAACCCTCCTCACTTTTCTAAGGAACAGAGTTTATGATGTTATTACCAGGGTTGTGTGCTTTGAATATCGCCGTACCTTAGGTTAACCCCCACCTTCACCCATAACTCATCTATTCTACTGCCACCTGGGGGTGGCACTGTAATTGGCAACATGGCTGCATTTGCAGATCCACAGAGCTGGGCACCCGGAAAATACTCACAATGTTTGGGTTGAAAAAACGATTATCACAACTCTGAGGAAAAGGAAATGATAGTGAAGCTCCTTACCCCTCTCACATACAGGCTCAGTTTCTTTATGAGTATTCTTGCTCAGCTGTTCTTGTAGACCCTGGTATGTATTCCAAAATTCTTCATCCTGGGACACTGGCTGGGACTCTGCTGGCTTCAGATTGAAGCCTGGGGCCTCTGCTGTTTCTCCCAAGAGCACTGCCTCTTTTCTCAGCTCATGGACTGCAACCTAGAAATAATCCCCATCCATGTTACCATACAACTTACTTTTGGGGTTGGTGGAAGAGGGAGTAAAAAATTTGGGAGTGCAGATTGAGAGAAGTATGAGACACTAATGGAAATGACAAGAAGACTTACAGAGATATTGGGCCACAAATTTTCCAAAAAGAACTATCCCAAAAATCTGGGAAAAGTAGGATAAAACGAAAAAAACGTGTGGCTAGTGCCAACTCTCCAACACCGCGGCCCCCACCCCTCTGCATACACACCCCAGCTTAGTCCACTAGCAGGGTTACACAGGCCACCTGTTCTCAGGGTGCCTTGACAGGCTTTCTCTCTTGACTTACATGCCTGACCTCAGTGGCTTTCTCTGTTGTAGTTTTCTCAAAAGATTAAGGAACTGAATAACAAAGTTAGCCTGTCAACCAGATTTTCCCCATGGCTAGGGAAGGTTTTCAGAGAATGGGGACGAAATGGAGAAAAAAGGAGGAGGAAAGAGTCTGGCTCAAACCTACCTCCAAATGATTTTGACACCAAACATATGCCTGCCCTGCATTCTTCACGACAGGCCTGAAGCCAGTTGGTGTGCTGCCCCTTGCTGAAGAGCACATCCTGAATTCCCTCTCACTGGCAGAGCCAAGGCCAACCAGTAAGGGAGGGCAGTGGAGGCTCCTGTCTATCGTATGGAGGACACTCTCTCTCCCAGTCTTTCTTCTCTTAGCTACACTGTTTGATTTTCAAATCTTTGTTTTCCTTTTTGCTTTCAACTTTTTCTCTTCCTCTTCTGTCTTCCCCTAGCTGTTTGGTTTCTCCTCTCCTTTCTCTTTGCTTTCCTTTGGTCTCTAAGTATTCTCCCTTTTTTAGAACTGCCTCTTCCTTTCCAACTCCTTATTGCCTTTTACTTGTTTCTAAGAACTTAAGACCTGTCTCCTTCACTAAACCAGACTAGGATTATTACCCTCAATTCACCCTGGCTCCAAAAAGGTAAAAAGCAACTTTTTCTCTAAGGCCAGGAAAAGTCTCTGCCAGGATCTCCAAAACCTGTGGACTAACTATTGCTATGGGTCTGTGGTTTTAGGCCCTGCCTTAGTTGTCCTAAAGGAACAAGAGAACAGTGGCCTAATTAATTTCTCGATTAACTGCCCCCATGCCCCCAATACACCACCTTCATCCTAATTTACTATATGCATCAGGAATCTTTCTTCTCACCCCATTTCTCGTTTGACCAGATTCCTTCTGCAAGTGTTCTACGAGGGCCACAGCCTCCTCAATGCCCTGGAGATGGTGCTTCTTTACTCCGGTCTGGATGTCCCTGGGCAGAATGGTCAGGAATTGCTCTAGCACCAACAGTTCCAAGATCTTCTCTTTTGAGTGGATCTCTGGCCTCAGCCACTGAGAGCATAATTCCTGAAGCTGACTCACAGCCTCGTGGGGTCCAGCTGCCTCATCATAATGGAAGTTCCGGAAGTGCTGGCGAGAGATCTCGGGACTGAGACTGTCCATTTGTGAGGTATATTTCTTACTCTGACTGGAGCTCTCTGTCACAGATCCCTTGGTCTCCCACAGAGCCCTGATCTGAGGGTTCAAATACTCAGCCACCTTTAGATCTACTGTCATCATTCTGTTCTAAGAACAGTTTTGTTCCTGTGTTGGGCACCCCACGAGCACCACCTTTGACAACTTAGGTCCAGTCTGGTCTGGAACAAAATCAATAAACGGATCTTCTTCCTAAGGCAATGAGGGCAGGAAAAAAGTGTATGTTAATAAGAAAGCCACAGGAACTTTACCACTTGCTACGATATTATGAGAGAAAAATGAACAGAAAAGGTCCTGTGTTGCCTTCCTTTAAAAATCAACTGCCAGGCCCTTAGTTTCCCTCTTTTCTTTCTATCATTCAATTGAAACACAGCACAGCTTATTGAAGACAAATGCCAACTGATGACTATGCCTTTACAAAAATAATAGTAATTTAGGAAAGGCTGGTGGTGAGAAAATTGGTACCCACTGGCTGCAGAGAGTTTCGGGATTATCCAAAGATTTAATTGATGTGCTTCCTATCCCATCTTACCCACGTGAAGGGCAGATTAGGAGAACATTCTGCCTTTCTCTAATATTTTAACATGTCATCCTAGTCTTGTGTCTTCAGTAAGGGAGTACAACTTCTATGACCCTTCATCCTCTTGTGAAGATGAAGGCTCCACTCTGTGGAACATTTGAGTCGCCCTTCCATTGTATAATACTGGCAGGAGAGCTGACAATGACATCAGAGGAGAAGGAAAGTAATCAGGGAAAAAATAGCCTTACTCTGCTCAGAAAGCATCCCCAATTACGTAACCAGATGCCCGACATTCTTCTCTGGCACTTCTTTCCCAGGCGTATAAGGGGCACTATGCAGAAGATTGACACCTGTATGTTTATGTTTCTCTTCGCTTGACCTAGAAACCTTACCCCTGGCCTTGTTCACAAAACGTTCATCTAAATGTTGAGGCTCAAAACAGCAGAGAACGGGAGCGGGTGAGGATACGGTGACCCTTCCGCTGACTTTACATTTCTTCAACGGTCATTCAGACCTCTCAGCGAGGCTGACGAGAGCCTCCCTCGAAAGTCCTGAGGTGATCCAGCAGAAGCGGCAACGAAATCTGCGCAGGACGCCAAGGCAGTCGCAAACGGCCGGCTCCTTGTCGCCCACGCGGCCTCAGGCGGCACGGGGACACCTGCTATGCTTTTGCATCAGCAGAAGGCGGCCTCTGCGAGGCTGACCTGCCCCGTTCTCCCGCGGTAACAGCAGCCAGCCACGGAAACGCAGCGGAGGCGGGAAAGCGGCCGAGACGGCCCGCCCCGCCCCCGCCTGCGGACGGCCGACGGGCGCCCGGGAGCCCGGTGCGAGCGCGCGGTGGCCGAGCGGCTCCAGCCGCGGCGCTGGGCGCTGTGGGCGCAGAGGGCAGAGAGAGGGGCCGCCGGAGCCCGCGGGTGGGCCTCGCCCCGGGCAGTCCCGCCGGAACCTCACCGGGGAGGCAGCCCGGCCCGGACACGCCGCCGCCCGCGGAAAATGGCTGCCTCGCCCCTTCCGCCCTGCAGCGGCGGCGACTCTCAGGGTCTCCGGGGCCGACGCCGAGGGGGAAGCCGCTTCTTGTTACCTCAGACAGCTCGGCTTCGTGGACGCCGCTCCCTCGGCCCCGGGCTCCACTGCAAGTCGCCGCCCTTCCGGCGCCGCCCTGAGGAGCGCCGCTCTCCGCCCCGCACCACTCCCAGGCGGGGCCGGCGAGGCGCGCGCGGCCCGGCGAGCGAAACCCAGGGCTCGGAGACGCAAGCCTGGCTCCACCACGACCGCTTCCCGAACCCCAGTTCACCGGTACCCGCCCCCTCCCGCGCCCCAGCCGGAAGCGGAAGTGACGCACATTCGGGGCGGGGCTCTGTGCAGCCTGCCTGCGTCTGCGAGTGCGCGGTTGAAGGCCTCGCCTTAGAGAGCGGCTTACTGTCCCGGTTTAGCCCTGGCGGCAGGAAAGAGTTAAAGCCACCGAGTCTGTAGGGCCACCGAGGCCTAGACGGCCCAGCGCGCGGCTCGGCGTGTGGGTGTCGCCGTCTCGCGTCCGTGTTGTTCCTGCGTCGCTTCAGGCGGCCGGCGGCGCCTGGTAGCCGGGAGGGAGCCTGGCCCGGGGCGTGTCGCCGCAGGTGCGCGCGATGTGCTCTCGGCCTTCCAGCGGCCCAGCCGGCAGTACCCGAGCTGTCGCCCCGGGGCTCGGCAATCTCCGGCAGTGAGAGGCCTTTTTGTCCCCGTCAGGCTCAGCGGCCCCTGAGGGGTTTGTGCCTCTCACTGGGCCGCGCGTCCCTCACAACGATTCTGTTTTTTCTTGTGAGGTAGGTTTAACCTATGAAATAGGTTCCATTGATAGTTCTCCTTGACAGAAAGTGAGCTAAGAAGTGACTTGCTCAAGGTCACCTGATTTCCCAGTGGCGGCTCCTAGGCAGGCATTTAGGTCCCCTGTTGTCCTTTCTTCTGCTTTTTCCACTGCAGCATGCCCCCCGGACGGTGGGAACCTTCTTTTCATCTCGTATCGCCTGCAGTGTCTGGCAGATACCTGGGTAAGATAGGCATTCTATAAATATTTACTGAATCGCATTTACAAGAATCGGAGTATTTCGGGTTGTCGGTGCTCTCCTAATTAGGGATGTTTTTGTAGTGTCAGCCTATACCCGTCAAGTGATTCTTTACTAAGTCGGCTACGTGTAGCTAGAGTTACAGAGTCGATAGGACAGTGTCTTTGAGTGAGGCAATCTGGCAAAAGAACTGAGGCAATGTGACCAATACCAGTAACACGAGGTGGGACAAGGTCAGATGTGAGCTGAATGCTGCGGAAATTCCAAGGGAATGCAAGTTGACTTTTGGTTGGGGAAAATTATAGAAGACCTTGAGACACTTGCCCAGAGCAGGGACTGGGGCCATATTCCCGGCAGAGGAAAAGGTAAGAGCAAAGAGCAAAGCCTTGAAAGCTGGACAGATGAGAGAGTGCGAAAATCTGTAGTAGGTTTTTCTAATGTAATTGGGCTACACATTCGGAAAAAGAGTGAAAGTTAGAAAATAAGTTCACGTGGACCTCTGATGGAGCGTTTTGAATGGGACTGAAGAGACTGCATTGAATAAAGTAAATCTTGGAGCATCGTTTGAGGGTTTTGGAGGGAGCTTCTTTCCAGGTCCGTTCATCTGGAGGTAAGTTTAAGGTGGGAATGAAATGGGAGACCGTTACCAGGCCATTATACTGTTTTTGCTGTTAGATAGACGGGTGTTACGCTCCTCTGAAGTCTAGATCTTGATCCTTTTTGAGTGAAAGGAAAGGATTAAACAAAGGCAATAAGGAGCATCTGCCTAAGTCACTTGAATATGTTTAAAAGCAGGTTCATTTCCCTAGAATCTCAGTCAGGTTGGAACTTAGTTTCTTCAAAAGCAAGTCTTGTCTCCAGTCTGTCAGAAACAGTGGACAGTAATGCTCTTAGCATTAAGATCCTCATCATCTGGCCCAAGGCTGAGCATATAATTGGAATGTATTACACTGAATCAATGAAGTTCTGCCAGCAGTGTCCTTGGATGTCATTGGCAGGCCTAATTCAAAACATGGGTAGGGAGTTGTTTAGGGAAGAAAAATGTTTAGGGGACAAATGTTAGGGGAGAAAAAATGTTAGGGGAGAAAAATGTGGGAAGAGACCCTATGAAAGGAAGAAGAGAAAGCAAAACACAAATGTTGAATAATGAATGAGAGCCACTGATGACATCCATTGCTTGAAGTTTGGTGCCATAGTTCCCTACCCTTGCTGGGGAGCCCACAAACATCCCCTGAGTCTTTCATTTTGATTTCACCTTCCCCTGCTTGTGCACTGGGTGAGAAAGCATCAATGTACAGCTGAGAAGGAATGAAAGCAAAAGATGAGAGCCCACACAACTGCCCTAGCAGGCTGAATGTTTTTGCTGGGTGACTGGTTGGAGCTAATGGTGCTGCTACTGGCTAACAAATTCTTTTTCTTTTTCCATTTATAAAGTTATCACTTAGTAATTGCCTTAGTTTTTGCTGCCTCTTTTAGAAAGTTTCTTGATCTTAGTCTGTCATTGCCTCTGCACCATTTTAACTATCGATTCTTTCATGATCCTCTTAGTCTCCAGAAATCAGTTGGCATTTCTTGCAACAATTGTTAGAGGTAAACTAAGGGTCTGGACTCTTCTGGGTTCCTAGATGAGAGGGTTGTGAGAATTCTATGTAGTTGAGTAATGAATGAAAGTCAGTCAGGCTCTGCTGTAAAAAAGAGGAAAATAACTGAAATACTAATCATTTTCCTCATTTCTCTGACATACTTTTCTTTCTTCATAGCACGTAGAATGGATAAAAGTGGCAGTTTTTGTTACTTCCCATGAAGTTGTGTATCTGGAATGAGAACCATGAAATTAATCTAGAATAGGACATTTCTAAGGACATGGAATGGCATTGAGCAGCACCAGGAGGACCTAAAAGGAATATTTGAGGGCACAGAGCTACAGAAAAGTTTGTCAACAGAAGTATTTATGAGAAACAATTGATCAGAAACCTTTTAAATTTCTTCAAGCAGTGGCAAGATTGAGTCTTTGTTCAAATTAAGCAAAATCTACACTGAAGAGAAATCGAATAAAGTCTCAAATATAAAACATATGTTATTTAACACCCTAATGTAAATTTACAAAAACAAATGAAAAGACAGATCTTTTTAAAATTTCTTACCTAGGGTAAAATGTTTGTAAACTTTTGAACTCATCTCTAAGAATTGCCATGATTCTGAAACTTGATAATATCTCAAATATGGAACAGTTTCAATCAAAAATAACACTTGAGAATACACCAGATTACACAAGAATGATCTGAGAGTGGAAAAGTACTACTAACAAATAAATTACATCCTTCAAATTAGCTTGGTAAATATAAGGAACAATCAATTTAAAGCTCAATCTTTAAGAATGCTATATTGAATACAATAAAAGTTGGATTTCATTCATATGGAGAACAGAACCTGCTAACTTTCTTCTTCACCTAAAGATAGTATACACCTGTTTCCAAATTCCGCTCTCCAGATATCCCACTGTCAAGGTAGATTGGAGTCTGTATCCAGGCGGATGGACTGCTGCCCAGTGAACACTACGTACAGAGCAATATGAGCACCATTTTCTTTTCTGGCAGTGAGCTAAAATCAGGTCGTTTTTGAAGGGGAGAAGCCACACTGCATCTCGGCTACACAAGATTACTCTGTTCTTGCCTTTGAGGCTTTCATATTTCCTCTCAAGCACCACTTTTTATTGAAACTTATCTCACCTGCGTCTGTTCTTATGGTCACATCTTGCCTTCTCTCTTCCTCTTGTGTCTTTTCTTGGTTGAGTTAGGGAGAGTATGCAGGTATTCCTGTTATTCCCAACTGGTGCTGCTATGTTTGTCAAGGCAGAGGAGGAGGAGCAGGGGATTCTGAAAACTGGTCATCTGTGTCTTACAGGAGCAACAGCAGGACTTTGGCAGTGGCAGCTTTCTGAGTTCAAAAGACCTTTACCTCTAGACTAGCACTTCAATCATGAGCCCTTCTCCCTTTTAGTCCATTGCCCTTCAGTACAAATCCCTGTGCCTTCTGGGGCTTTGAGCTAGTGTTTTGGGGGTCTTTTGTTTTTAGAGTTTTTTTCTAATTCAGTAAGGCTTTCCCTTTTTTTCCTCCTGTTGGTCGTTTGAAACCAAATTCAGTATGAATAAGAGAGGGAAATATACAACATTGAATTTGGAGGAGAAAATGAAGGTTCTAAGTAGGATTGAAGCTGGACGGTCTCTTAAAAGCGTAATGGATGAATTTGGAATCAGTAAATCAACATTTTATGACATTAAAAAGAATAAGAAATTGATTTTGGACTTTGTACTAAAGCAGGACATGCCATTAGTAGGGGCTGAGAAGAGAAAGAGGACAACAGGAGCCAAATATGGAGATGTGGATGATGCAGTCTACATGTGGTACCAACAGAAACGCTCAGCTGGTGTCTCTGTTAGAGGCGTGGAGCTTCAGGCTGCTGCAGAGAGATTCGCACAGTGTTTTGGGCGAACAGACTTCAAAGCTAGCACTGGATGGCTTTTTAGATTTCGAAATAGGCACGCAATTGGGAACCGAAAAGTATGTGAGGAACAAGTCCTAAGTTCAGCTTCAGAAAACGTTGAGCCATTTCGACAAAAACTGTCCATGCTTATCAAAGAGGAGAGACTGCTTCTAGCTCAGCTATACAGTGGGGATGAGACTGACCTCTTTTGGAAGTCAATGCCAGAAAACACTCAGGCAAGCAGAAAAGATATCTGCCTGCCCGGGAGGAAAATAAACAAAGAAAGGTTGTCTGCTCTTTTATGTGCAAATGCAGATGGAACTCATAAGTTAAAGTCAATCATTATTGGAAAATCAAAGCTGCCCAAAAGTGTGAAAAAGGACACAAGTACATTACCTGTGATATATAAATCTAGTAAGGATGTTTGGTTCACCAGAGAATTGTTTTCCGAATGGTTCTTTCAAAACTTTGTTCCTGAGGTCAGGGATTTTCAACTTAATGTTCTAAGATTCCATGAAGAGGATGTCAGGGCCTTGTTACTTCTGGACAATTCCCCAGTTCACCCTTCTACTGAATCACTAACCAGTGAAGATGGTCGAATAAAATGCATTTTCTTTCCCCACAACACTTCAACCTTGATTCAACCAATGAATCAAGGTGTGATCTTGAGCTGCAAACGACTTTATAGGTGGAAGCAACTTGAAGAGAGTCTTGTGATTTTTGAAGAAAGTGATGATGAGCAAGATAAAGGAGAAAAAGGAGTTTCCAAGATTAAATTCTACAACATAAAAAGTGCAGTTTTTAACTGGGCAAAGAGTTGGGATGAAGTAAAACAAATAACCATAGCAAATGCATGGGAAAATCTTCTTTACAAAAAGCAACCTGAATATGATCTTCAAGGCTTAGAACATGGGGATTATAGAGAAATTGTTGAGAAATGTGGGGAGTTGGAAACCAACTTGGATGATGATAGGGTGTGGTTAAATGGGGATGATGAAGAAAAGGGTAGTACCCCCAAAACAAAAGGTGTGATTACAAAGGAAGTTGTTCAAAAAGGAGAAAGTGAAGAGCAGATTGCTGAATTTAAGTTATCTGCCATAAGAGAGAGTTTAGACTACCTTCTTGATTTTGTTGATGCCACACCTGAATTTCAAAGGTTCCATTTCACACTGAAAGAGATGCAACAAGAAGTCATCAAGAAACAGTTCCAGAGTAGAATCCATTCTAGAATTGGTAGTTTTTTGAAACCTAGGTCTCATATTATTAAGGATTCCTTCAATATGCCTTCAGCTTCTGGTTCTAGTAATTAGATTTTGTTTAAATTTTTTTTTGTTGTTTAAAGATTTCTGCTGTTACATGATAATATATGATGTAGACCTGTTGTGAATTGTCATTGTTTTTAATCAATGGAACTCATTTTGCATATCAATTGCCTGTTTATATATTGTTTATAAAATACACAATTTGAAAATAAATTTGTTTATATGTATAAATATATTCATTAATCTATATTTTTTTCTGTTTTAGACAAGGATCTGGATAATGAGGAATTATTGCCCCAGATTATTTTAAGGTGGAATGGATGTGGCAAAAGCATTAAACTCCATCAATGTATTCATAGCATATAACAAAGAAGCTATATGCTGACTAGTTCTAGTTACCTTTAAGAAAAGGATAGATTCGGTTTTCAATTTAATGGTATGACATGCTCTGCTTTCCTAAATCTGTCCACTTATTGAGTGTTTTTTCCCTCTTAATGTGAAAGTAACATGCTGCTTATAGACTATACATGAAAAAGAAAAAGCATCCAAATTCTATCGACCAATGATAGTCTCACCTAAGACTTTGATATATTTTAAAAATAGATTACATTGTAACTACAATTTTTTATTGTCTTAATATACTTTAGGCTTTGGTATTAATAATGAGCATTTGCTGAGACATCTTTCAAGCCTGGGGTAGAATGGATTGTGGAAGAAGTTGAGGGAGATGGCAGATGAGCATATTGGACAGCTCTCTAGTTCCTTTTAATTTCAGTCATTGCATCAAATATCCTCCCCCCACACCCCCCGACTGGCAATAAATTCCCAGAATAAGTGATTGGCCGTCACATTCCTTTCAAAAGTAGTCATCGATTCTGGAAACTTCACGTTGCCGTTCCATGCTAGGCATGGAGCATAGTGTTGAACATTTGGACCTGAATTACAAAGAAAACGAATAGAAACAAAACAACCGTTGGACGTATAAGAGCTGAGTATGGAGAGGGCTTGGATAGGAGGGGAAATGTCAGGATCGAGTGTGACTTTTGACCTGGGCTTTAAAGTTTAATGGGGAAAGAGGGAGGGCAGTCGGGGCAAAGGGGAGCGTGAGTATAGGCTGTTCAGTGTGAGTGCATGCATGTCCTTCGGAAGCTGCAAGTTCCCTGGATGGTTGCTGTAGGGGCAGCTGGCAGAGGAAAGCAGGAAAGACGGCCAGATTTTCAGTGCCCTTGCCGGGGGCGGGTCATCCTAAGATTTTAGACCGGTCTCGTCCCACGTAAAGTCCTGTTGGCTCTACCGCCTGAATGTCTCACCTCTTTCTCCTCCCTCTTCACCGCTTGTGTCCTGGTGCAGACTGCTATCACCCCCAGCACCTGTCTCTTTAGTCTTCCTGCCCTCTTTTCATGTCCTCTCCCCATGCTTTCCCCACCCTGTAGCCAGCGCGAGCGAACTCAAAAATGAGGAGGTGCCTTCCTTGCTAAAGACCCTTCGTGTGCTTCCCATTGCCGCCCTCACTGAGGGCAGCCCGCCTGTCCCGGGTGGGCCGGCCGAGGGCCACGCTTGCGGGCCCCTAAGACGCCCCTTTCCCCGGGCCCACCCCCACCCGCTGTGTGCTCGCCTCCTGATGGACCGTGAGAGCTGGCCCGGAGCTCAGACCCATTATCGGCCCCGGATTGGCGCAGGCGCACCTGACAGACGAAGTTTGGAGTGTGCGGTCGTGCGGCCCATATTCATTCAGGTGGAGGGAGACGGGAGCCCTGCAGCGCTGCGGCCCCACCCAGCCCTAAGGGCGGGACCTGAGGGGAGAGTGCGGCCCGGGGCGACCATAGAGCGCCCGCCGGCGGGCCAGAGCGGCCGGGATGGGGAGGGGCCGCGGGTTGGGGGGCGGGCCCGAGGGGAGGGCGCAGCGGCAGAGCGCCCGCCGGCCGACAAGACCGGCTGGGGCGGGGCGGGCAGTAGGAGAGGCGGGTCCAAGGCCCTGCGCCGAGGGTGAGGGAAGGTTGGTCGGGACCGGCTGCTGAGCGCTTTTGTCACAACCTTTGCCCGTCCTGGGGCCGCCTCGAGAGCCGTCTTCGTTGGGACCAGCCGGGTGGGGCAGGCGGGCGGTTTTAGGGCTTGGTGCCTCGTGCATGCTGTCGGCGGAAGGCTAAGCTGCGGAAGCCACGGATTCGTTTGTTCTGCCTGAGAAAGGACTGACGTCTTTGGTTCTGGATATAATTCCCGAGGACTAGAGCTCCTCCGAGAAACCCAGGCACCTCACTCTTGTTCCGGTGGCTGAGGCAGGAGTCCTAAACTTAAACTGGACCTTCTCCTAGGAGAGTGCGGAATCCCCTCAAGGGCAGCTTCATCTTCAGAGTGGGGAACCACACCCAGGTTCTAGAACGTCTTCCTGCCTTGAGGGCAAGTAGGGTTGGAGAGGCAAACTCAATTCCTCATTATGTCCAAAAACATACCCTAGGATCTCGGAAAGAAATGTCTTACTATTTTCTTGCCCCACCCTTTCTGCCTGGGAAAATCTTACTATCTCCCTGGAGCAGGTTTGCATCCTGATGAGTCACCAGTTTCATTTCTGATTGAAGCTTCTGGGACATTCAAGGTGTCCCAGTGATGAATTGAGGACTTTAACTGGAAGATTTGTCACAATGTTTCTGTAGTCTGAGCCATTTTTCATCAACAATTTTGTCGTTGTCGAATGTACCTAGACCATTCCCGCTGCCTCCTAACTGCGTAACAGCAAGGCAAGACTCAGCCCCTCTTAGTAAAAATTATATGGTCAGAAGGAATTATCAGTCTCTCTTTCAAGAATGGAAGTCAATTTTTAATCAGAAGTGCTTACAAGCTCGATTGAAGGCCAAAAGAAAATGCTTCTAATAAATGCACTTTTGCTTTAATTCATCTTGCTATTCTTGAGCTCTGATACCCAAAGAATTTAGTCTCCTAGTGCTAACAAATTTGCTGGTTGGTTTCCTATGACACAGCTTAAGGCCTTTTTAAACATGACTTGTTTCAAATGTTTGTGAAACATTTACAAAAATTACAAGACTTAAAGCAGTGGTGTGACTTTGCACTTTCCAAAATTGTATCAGTTGATAATGTAAGGATAATACTGCACCAGTATTATCAGTAACAGCAACAGTAAGCAACAGTAAACTCTTCCTAAAAGCGTGCAGAGTCCAAAAGCTCAAATTTCAGACTATGGTATTGAGACCTGTAAGTTCTTTCATTACTGCAGTAAAAATTCTTAAAGTGATTTCTGGAAAAAAAAACCCACAATGTACTGCCTGGTTTCACACATATTCCCATCTCTGGCATTACAAGCTTTGTCCTCACTGATGGCTAGCCTGCTGCCTTTGCTAGGCTTTTCCACATTGCTTAAATGTGGTACTGATTCTCCACCAGGAGCTATTCTGCTGGTCTCATGTGCTACTTTTGCTTTAAGGATGTGTGGCTATTGCTCAGTATGTCCATATCTCCCAGGTCTCCTTTGTACCCATTTGGACTGAGGGGGCAGGGGTCTTTATTGCCCCCAGCGTCAGTCTCCCATTGACATAAAAGCCAGCTGGAGTCTGTTCTGGTTTCTTTTTCAAGTGGACTAGCAGGTTAACATATGAATGTAAAAAGTGTATGTGTGTAAAATAAGTATGAATGTAAAAAGCATATACTTGGGCATCCCTTGCAATGACCTCACAGGAGCCTGCAGTAAGGGCCTCTGATGTGCTTTTTGAAATAGGGCTACAAGGGAAGAAGTCATCAATCTTGCCTGTCAATAGTTGACTGCTCCACGAAATTTCTGCCTGCATGGTCGTACAGTGATCTCAGTGCCAGGTGCTTAGAAATAAGGCAATCTTGCCAGTATTATCTGCCCATAGCTGGCACATATAAATGAGTACTTTCTCTGTGGCAGCGACTGTGCTAAGTGTTTTACATACAATATTTTGTGACATCATCTCTTAAAACAAGGCCAGGAACAGCTCTGCATGTGAAGTTTGCTAGAAGGGGAGCTGGACTGAAGACTGGACAGAAAGCCTTTTTAGTGACAGGAGTGAATACCTGGGAATCCTTGTTGCTCGAGCCTTAAGCTGTGATGCTGTAAGTAGGAGCAACACCAGTTGGACATCTTAAGATCTGCATGGATGGTTTATTGGGGGAGTGGGGGGACAGGGAGGGGTGCTTTCCACTCTCATGAGATTTACAATCCTCATAAGTTGCCAAACCAGAGAGAGTGCTTAGTAACATCAACTTTACACCATCCACCCATTTCATGGCAATGGTAGCCACATCAGCCCTGCCCTGCTCCTACCACTGTTGATCCTACATTAATCTCTCTCAAATCCTCACTCACTTCCCCCGCCCCTCAACCCCCACACTACCATGCCCCCTTCTGGATAAGAGAAAGGAAGATAAATGAGAAACAGTAAGATTTTTAAAAAATTGGCTCAGAAAACCAAGGAAAAACTCATACTAAACTGAGGCAGGGCTGAGACAACACTGATAACGGGCAGGGCATGCAGGGTTGTTTGCTTCACTTAAAATTGCTGTATTTGATAGCCAGTTGCTAATGGAACGTTTCATCTTTTTCTCCCAAAGAACAACTAGTTAGATGTTTTCCTCCAGGGCCAAATCCTGAGATGTTTTCCTGGCATCCAAATTTCCTACTCCTGGAATACTTCCTGGTATCCCACCTCTTTCCCATACATACACTCTCCTAGAATTCCTATTCCTGATTCCCTATTCTAAAACATAATGTTTTCCCCTAATAATTTTGCTCTCTCTTATAACTTCCCTCCATTAATGGGCTATATCTGTTATATCAGGACCATCTTTCCTGGGAGTCATTTGCAAGACCAAAATATTCTATCTTTGAAGAGCTAGATCTTCTTCTGCTACTTTGCAAGAAAGTAAACATTCTGAACAAAGAATCAGACTTTTTTTTACTGTTGTACACTACAGAAGGAAAAAAACCTTCTGGGAGACCCTTATGATAACATCACCCCAAGCGGCCACTGGATTTGACTTTTTGTTACCAAACAGCAGTCCAAGCCTGGAGCAGGCCAGGGCCACATCCTTCTTCACCGGACACCTACCCTGTCTGCTGCCACCTTTCTCAGAACCTTCCCAACCAACTGTAAGACCACAAGGAGAAAGCAAGTCCTCTAACCAAAGCAGACAGGGGACATATCAAGACTGGAGGCCAAGACAAAGGCCCTCAATGAAGAGTCACAGACTTTCATGTCTTCTAAAGATATTTATTACCATTCCAACAGATTTCAACAGGGAAAGGCATGATCCTTAATTTCCAAGTCTCCTATGGAACCCACTGAAGACTCCAGAGCTCTGTTTGTCTTTCTCTGACAGAGGTGGGGGAAGTCTCGATCTCTGCAAAAGGTAAACTAATTCAGATTTCGGTTTCCTCTGCCAATTCCTGGGCTAACCTGCAAATCCCACCTTGCTATTTCCTTTAGGTCCGATTCCTTTTTGTCTGAGGTGACATTTACATGCATGGCCTGCCAAAGGGCCTTCCTGTCAGGCCATTGAGGGGTGCTGTGGTGGCTGCCCTGGATTGCTCATGGCTTCCCAGCCAGGGCTTTGCTGAGAACTGCAACTCACCACCAGTCCTTCCTTGCCTCCAGCTGGTTTCCCAAGAGACTTGGCCCCTCTTCTTTGGTCTCAGGGCTTCAGAAGCCCAAATGCTCCTGCTGTGTGTCCCAAGTGAGGAAGCAGTGATAGAAAGTCACATGGATTCCCAAAGTTGTTCGGATAGACCCTGGACACAATAAGGCACTGAAATCACAACTTGGCTAAATATACTGCAGGAGTAGATGCTCCCTGGGAAAGGGTGGACCAGAGAATTCTGCCCTGAGCGGATCACCTCAAAGACTTGCCATCTTCAGTAGTTCAGGCAAAATTCCTTTTTAGTTTTATGCTATTCTTGTGCTGCCTCTGTACCTCCCTCAAAGTGAACCTCCCCCCAGTTCCTCTTTATACTAATTACCTTAAAAACAGATCATTTGGTCAGTTGAACAAGGAATACCAGCTCTTAACAACAGGACCCTCTAAATATGCCACCTTATCTGGGCGAAAAAGAAATCCAGTTGTTTCTATCCAGTGTGAGTTCTCTGGTGACTCATAAGGCGTGAACTCCGAGAAAAGCTTTCTCCACATTCAGAACATTTATAGGGTCTCTCTCCCGTGTGGGTTCTCAGATGACGAATCCGATTTGAGCTGTGAGAGAAACTGTCTCCGCACTCATGACACGTATAGGGTTTCTCTCCCGTGTGAATTCTCTGGTGCCTGATTAAGTTGGATCTATGAGAAAAGTTTTCCCCACAAAGGGTACATTTATATGGTTTCTCTCCTGTGTGTGTTCTCTGATGTCTGGTGAGATGCATGCCCTGCCGGAAGCTTTTCCCACAAGTCAAACATTCAAAGAGTTTCTTCTCTGCCTTGTGGGTTCCATGATTTGTAAGAAAGAGGGTGCTATCACTCATTGCTTCCCCACACTCAGAGAAGGGGTAAAGCCTCTCTTTCTCATGAGTTCTTTCATGTATGACCAGGTGTGAACTTCGAGAGAAACTTTTTCCACACTCAGCACACTTATAGGGTCTCTCTCCTGTGTGAATTCTCTGGTGCCTAAGGAGGTTAGAACTGTGAGCAAAAATCTCCCCACACTCGGAGCACTTGTAGGGCTTTTCACCTGTGTGCGTTCTCTGGTGCCTGTGCAGGTTGGAGTTGCAAGAGAAGCTTTTTCCACATATGTTACATTGATAGGGCTTCTCACCCGTGTGGGTGCGCTGATGGCGGGTCAGATGGGTATTCTGACTGAAGCTCTTTCCACATTCAAGGCACTTATGGGCCTCCTCTCCCAAGCGTGCTCTGTGTAGCGATAAAAAGTGTGGGGTCCCACCAAAGATTTCACCACACTCCACACCCATACACAGCCTTTCTGCTGCATGTATTCTCTGGTGCCTAATTAGGTTTGAGTTATTAGAGAAATTTTTGCCACACAATGGACATAAATGGAGTTTCTTCGGCTGCAGTTCCTTTGGTCGCCCCAGTTCTCTGCAACTTATGGTCCCCAGTAAGGACTGCTCCATCTGATCCTCTGGGGGAGGCTCCCAAGGCCCTTCTGCCCTGTCCTGAAGCCTTCCCTGCTCAGGACTCCAGGGTACGTCTCCTCTGGCCTGTCCAGGCAGCAGCACCTGAGGGTGGAGACTCTCAGAGGAAACAGACTGAGCACTTTCTTCCCGGTTCTCAAATTTCTCTTCCCCTGTTAGAGGAAGAGAAACCAAACCCCCACATTATTTCTATACAGGAGAAAAAAAAAAATCTGACATGTCTGCTACTCCCTATAGGTCAGAAGTCCAGAAGGACTGGTTCTACCTCAGTTTCCCATTTTTCCCATATAGGTAAAGCACTCTAGAGAGGCATCCGGATAAGAGGTGGCACCATCACTCAGGAATCAGAGCTCAAGACTTGTCTTAAATTCCCTGTAGGGGCCCCCACCTCCCTCTCCAACTGAGCCTCTGGCTTCTGCCCTTCATAAATGGATGGGATGGAGCAGGGCTGGGACTAGGGTGGGCCAGTGAGCCCAGGAGTGAATGCCTCCTTACATTTTGCATTCTGAGTGCCTTGCCTGCCTCACTGGGATGAAACTGGGCAATGGCTACACAGAAAGCAACTACCTCCTGGCAGCAGTGATGGGCTAGCCCTACACCCATACTCTCAAATGCCTTACTCCCAACAGTGGGAGGCTAGCTGGACAGGTTGCTCATCTTCATTCCTTACCTGGAGCTGGGCTTCTGGGGCTCAGGCCTTCCTTGCAAGTCTGAACACTGGGATACCATGGCTTTCCTGCTTGTTCCACCTGGGTGCTCAGGGCCTCCTGACTGGGAACCTGAGACTCTGTACATAATGAAAAAAATAAATTTGTCAGCACTTTCCTCTACCAGGCAGGGAAAACAAAGATAGCCTGGTTCCCTGCCCTCAGTAGGAAGATATAGAAGGTGCAGTAAGTCTAACAGCAATTACTTGGAATACACTCTAAACTGTTCTCACTGGTTATACCTCTAGGGAAAGAAATTAGGAAAGAGAGAATATGGCTTTTTTCTTTTTACACTTTTGTAGCACTTGGGGTTTTTTACAAAGAGAATGTACACTTTTGTAATTAAAACAACAATCAAATGAACATGGTCAGAGTGATCAGTTCCTTGAGGAATCAGTTTAATGTTGTAAAAAGCCTTGACTCTTACGGATAAATATAAAATAGAACTAAATTTGACTGGATAACTGCAGAAAGAGAAATACAACATCATGGATAATCAGAAAAGGATCTGGGGCTCTGAGAGGGCCCTGAGGTTAAAACCCAAAAGTACCATTCCTGTGTTATGCTAAAAACAAAATCTCACTCCAACTCCAGCAAACATGGACTTTAAACAGTTTAGTTCCAAGAACTTATCATCTGAACTTCGCTTCCTCTTTAGCACTCACTGAAAGACCTGTGCAACTTAGGGCACCAAGCCACGGCCCAGTGATGGAGAACTTGAAGGTCCTAATGAAGGGAACCAAATCCAGTAATGCCCCCTTTGCGGAATTAGTGCAAGTGAGCTGACAGCTGTGTTTCTCTTTACATAAACCTGAGGTATTAAAATCAAGTCCAGTGTGACACTTTTCTACCATGAGTGTCAATGTGGCTATAACTGTAATGTACATAGTCCTGTTTTACATTGTTTTTAAGACTTCCCCCAACTTTTTGAGAATTTTCATATATACAGAAAAGTTGGAGGAATTACACAATACCTGTATACTCTCTACCTAAAACCAACTTCTAGTTTTTTGTTACATTTCATAGACTTCATTTTTAATCTGTGTAATGGTTCAAGACATACATGCATCTTAATTTATTTAGCCTGTTAATTATTATATATATATGATGTATAATATATATATATAATTTTCAAATTTCCAGAAGGCCTTCCTCCTATCCTCAATTTTTAAGGGCTGGGATAGCTGCTAAGCTGGAATGTTGATGCCAGTGCACCTGAAATTTGTGCTTTGGGAAGGGCCTAGAAATATTAATGGAGCATAGAAAACGTAAGTGAGGTCAGATGAGTAAGCATCTCAAAACTGCAAGGCATCAAGAACTTAAAGAGTCCCACAGCATCCTGGGATATTGAGTGTGTGCATGATGCAGAATGTTGGGTCACTGGATTTGATTTGTTTTGCCCTGCGAAGTCCATTAACGCTCAGACTCCCTGCCTTTAGCTCTGGCAGCTAGGGCCCATAAGTGTGCCAACTGTGCCACTTGGCAGATGTTTAGCTGATCTTGGTGCAGGGGACTTTAGATAAAGGGACATCTTCTGGCAAAATTCAGAACTTATGTCAGGGAGGTGAGTGGCTAAGGGACAGGACCTTGGTCAGAAAGGGCTGTCTTCATCCCTGGAAAAGAAGTCCTTACCCAGTGAGTCCACATTCTCATAACTGTCCTGCACCGTGTCCCTGGAGAGGGCCCTCTTACTAGGATCTTGATGCCCCCACTCCTGGGAGATGTACATAGCCACGTCCTCTAAGCTCTCAGGCAACTGAAACAGCATAAGATCTCCTTTAGCCTCTGAGGCACCAAGAACAATTCAAGCAAAATCATGGGTTAAAGGGGCAAAAAGGGAGGGTGGGCAGACAAGGACACATTTCATGGGGAAGGGTATCAGGCTGACAACTGAGGTGAGGAGGGAGATGCTCATGGTGAGGGAGAAAGGATCCTCTCCAAGTGGCAAAAGGACCCACCCCCACAAGAGCAAGGTGGTGGGGTGCTGCTGAGGGGAGACAATGGGAACTTCCACATCACCTGGGGCCCAGTCATCTCCTTGTCTTCCATGTTTCCTTCAGGAGGAAAGAGCGAAAGCCAGGAAGCAGCCAATGCTGAAGGTGACAGAAACCACGATGAGAATGGCATTCCTAATTCTTGGCAACCCAATGATTATTACAACACAGTATCCATTTCCCAACACCCAGTCTCTGCTCTGAGGATTAGACACTGAACAAAAGAAGGCAACAGAGGCATAATAATGTGATATCCAGAAAGAAGAGGTGAGGGTAAAGGAATGCCAGCACTCTTCCCTGCTGGCTTGCAGCATCCAAGCCCTCAATCATTCATCTAGCTCTAAATGTCTCTGTTCTGCATACAAAAGGGCTTACTAAGAGATCCCCTTCCCTCCCACCCCCAGAAGAACCCAAACCACCACTTCTAGACATTTCACTCCACATCTGGGAACCCTGAGGTCAGAAATTCCCTCTCCTTGGCAGAGGTGCTCCATCCTGCTGGCATGAGGGGCAACCCCGAAGCCCCTCCTCCCTCCCACCTGCCCAGATAACTGTTCCTCACCCCTCTCCTTTA